TTTAACTTGAATTGAAAATGATGCATAAAAACCATTTAGAACAACTCAAAACTACTCACTCTTCTTTTCTCGCTCGCTGTGTCGGCTATGCCTCACACAAGCTCATCACCGTAGCAACTGACTGACAACAACGCCACTAACGTGTCAGGATTCAACAACTAAAAACACTCAAACATTTCCCACACAGAACAGAACATTAAGTCCGTTACAGTTTTATGTTTCGAGGCTTGATGTTTATTATGTGACTATTAACATGTGATAGCTTTGGTCAATTAGATTGGTTGATTAGCTAATTTACACACCTGCTCTGCTGATGATCTGTCAGAGTTGGTGTGTGGATCGCCTTTTTATATTTTTTAATTAAACTGAAACACACATCACCTCTACATCTTTAAGTTGTCAAAGTCAAGATAGCATAACTGACCTATTTCCCCTGCTATTTTCTTTTTTAATTAAAACTTTTTCCTGACCTTGTTATGTAGTCATAGTGTTGACAATTAGTAGCAGAGCACTACAGTCCTATTTTCGTTTTACATATCACACATACATTTATGTTGACAACTTGACAGCTAACACCGGTGGTGGTCATTATGAGCGAGCAGCTTGTTGCCCTCCAGCAGGAAGCCACGAGGCGGGATTTACGTGGTGATGTCACGCAGCCCACATTCCGCCCATCAGGTTTAAATTAATCCATGATGCACTTCAGTACAGAAGTATAAAATAATTTTTGAACCATGAAATGGTTATATCTGTTTTAAAAAAATGAAATCGGTACCTTTAATCGACTCCTATAATGAAAACAAGTTTTTTCTGTGTTTAATTCCAGTTTTAAAAAATTAATAGCACATCTAAGCAACTATTTCACGAGATATTTATTGTATTTATCCTGTCCATAAAACACAATGCTTGTTAGAATACTAGCAATAAAAAAAATTCTGTTAAAGTACATTAAGAAATTTTTTTTTAAATGTGATCAGTTTTTACTTAATTGCGATTAAATATTTTGTTGGTCCTTTTATTTATTTTTGGCAGAATTTGTTTCTAATTTTCTTTTTGCCTTTCAGTCTGTCTGAAATGAAAGTGTAAAATTGCTTTATTCTTCTGATATAAAACATGCTGCTGTTGTGAAGCCTCCAAAATCTGATCACATTTACTGTAGCTGGATACATTCTGCTTATTTATTTATACCTCAGCTGGGAGGGTTTTATTTATTTTTTAACTGTCAATTTGATAACGGCCTCCCACTTTACCTGTAGGCACTTATAAGCAAACAGTGAATACGGCACTTATACGCTCTATTAGTTTATTCCTTGTGGAAGAAAATTGCAAGGAGGGTAGCCTTGATAAGAGTGCGTTTTAAAACGCAGTCAGTTCAATTTAATATGCTCATCGGAGCCTTTTCAGGCTGTTCAGACTTTCAAATACTGACAAGAAGAAATGTAAGATGCAACAAATAAACAAACTTTCGCCTAGTGGATTGAAACCAATCCAACTCTGCCTCCTTGTCCTACTTGGAAGCAACTTGAAGTTCTTAAACTTTTTTTTGTATTTTTATTTATTTTACCATTATGCTGGGCAGCATATCTCTGCATGAAATATTCTAAACATTCACCGTCAGTCACAAACGACAACGGAGTCATCCACACTTGCTATATTCAGCATTAAATTACCATAGAACTTGCTCATTTTGTCTTGATACAACCACAAAGCTCACTTTTTGTTTGTGTTTTTGCAACCAGAACTCTGAAAGGTGTGATAGGAATTTTCCTTCAGTCGCTCTGACTTGATGCATTGCAGCAAAGTATAACAAAACAATGAAGTGAATAGAATTTAAATATCCATTATTGTCCCTCAGTGGAGAAATTCACATGTGGTAACATCAAGTTAAAGGCAAATGGAACTACAAATTAGGTTAAAAAATATCAAAACAGAGAAACAATAATAAGACTGTAAAGTAAGGACACATTTATAACCAGTATGCCAGTCAAACCTGAATTGTCTTTCACTCATCGCGTAGCTGGATATCTGGAAAAAAAAAATACATTTTTATGCGTTTTGGCCTTTCATGTACACACAAACTCTGTTTAATACCACTGAAAACAATTATTCATAAAAACTACAACTAAAGTGGATATTTAAGAAAACTCCATATTTGTGTTTTCGTGAGTAGACGGCAAAGTGGAGATTTAGGGCATTGTTTTGCATTTAAACAACTTTATATTCTAATATACTATTTAAAAGTAGTTCTAGCTATATATCTGACCACACAAACAAACCTCCTGGCGCTATGTTTAATTCGTAACAGGAAGTAGTAGCAATCTGATCGACTGACATTGTTTTTAGCTTGGAGCTACACTGCCCCCTAGGGGTTTGGCATGTTTAAAACAGTGCTTGGAGCATTTTGGTGCAGGTTTCATGTGGATGAAACCAATCCAGAGTGCACAATATGTATATTTTTAGTTTTTATAAAGACCTGGCTACATGTGGACAGTGAGCAAGTGTTTATTTATAAATGTGGGGGGCGTTCCATTTCGCTCTTTCTGCTGTAATTCCTTGTGCTGCCTTTTCTAAACAAGACCCTTCGCCCCAAAGCATGTGGGTTCAAGTTTTGCGAGCCTGCACTGTAATTAAATTTGAAAGTCATATTCAGCTCTCACATTTTCTGTGAACGTCTTCTCTATAATTATGTATTTTAAAATCAGAATGGCTTAAAAAAAGGTCGATTGGAGCTGTCCTTAAGAAATGCAGAAACATGCAGCTTTAATGCCTATTTAGTTATCTTTACTGGAAATGGAGCTGATGATTTGCCAGACACAAGGTGGATGTGAAGACTTGTGCGCCGTCCACAATACGCACTTGTGAGTCTATACAGCATTCCTTAAATTAAGCAAGAGTTATAATTGATCATTTTATTTGCAAAGAAATGTCACCCAGATGGTATTTTTGTGTTCTCGCATCTTAATTTATTCTCTCATCTTATTAAAAAAATCTCCCAGACAGATGTCTTATCAGCATGTGTCATCACTAAAACAGTTCTGATTCTAAATGTGAATTACCTTGCAGAGGCTGCCTTTTGGAAATTAAAGTGCAAGTGGAGAATATATTGAGAAGTTCTGGCATCATGAATTCGATCCATTTAGTTCAGACCAGATGTTTGCATACACCTGATAAATAAGCCACAAACACTTTTTTTTCTCGGTGTCTGAAGTTAAAACCGATCCAACCTTTTTTTTTCGTTTTAGCTCAGTGAGAATTACCAAAATTATTTCTGTTTGCTAGATGCCAGAAAACTTAACGAGGACGTTTGTACATCAGGGATAACTATCTTTTAAAATGTATGACTTGGGTCAAACCTTTTGGATGTCCTCCCACAAGTGAGAAAAAACAAGTTTGTATCTTTTTATTCAGTGTATGTAAATATCTGGTATGTGGTGTGTTTTTTGTCTGTACCTTTCTCAGGTTTGAGAAGATGATAAGCGGGCTGTACATGGGGGAGCTGGTGCGTCTCATCTTGGTGAAGATGGCCAGAAAGCAGCTGCTGTTCCAGGGACAGACCACGCCACAGCTTCTTACCTCTGGATGCTTCAGCACCAACTACATCTACGCCATTGAGAGCGACAAGTTAGTATTTGTTCGATGTTCTCATAAATGATGTCCAAATAAAAACAACCCTAAAGTATACAGTATGAAGGAATCGGTTCAATGGCTCTCGACAGTTTCAAGCTATTCATTCAACATCACAAACCTAGACAAGCGTGTGATGTTGTGTTAATGCTTCATGTAATTTCGGGTATTTTTCTAATGAATTTTTAAATATTTCTCATACATAAAAGATGAAAGACAATGCTGTTTGTTATTGCTGTTGTACCATGCAACAAAATGCAATAGAGAAAAAGATGAGAGTCAAAAAAAGTTCACAATTAAGGTTAATGGACTATCATCTATTATAAATGCTTGTGTTTAAAATGCGTCTGCCGGTTTAGTTTTATTGGATCGGAGGATGAACATGATGTGGCGAAACTGCGGACATGTCCGCAGTGGTTACATGTCCGTCATCTCCATGAATCACAGACACTCAACTTTCTTTTTTGCTCGATCGTTTTACCTTCCTTTACTGCATCACCAGTATTTTATTTTATTTTTTTTCCCGAATAGATAAAGACAAAATGTCCCAAAAAGGAGGATTAGTGGCCGGGTGTTTCTGGCCAAACTTTGATCTGAAAGCAGCTGGAGACTCTTTAATCCCATCCGTCTAATCCTGCTCTGTACTTTCTCTGGTGTCTGCAGAACAAAAATATGGCACTGGGATTAAACAGAATTTATGATAAGCAGAGGAAAAAAATACCTTTTTATACTTCCCAACTTTAATGCTAAGCTAGTTTATATTCTAGCTGCCTTATTGTTCTTTTTTGTAGCATATGTGTAGTTAAGTCTTACCAATGAAGCATGTGGAACAATGTGTTTTTGAATGCTGATGATGGGGTCAATCAGTGACCATCTCCCTGTCTCCAAAACAAGCGCACACTATGGATGGGTCAGAGTTGGACTGAGAGAGAGATCACATATTTTCTCGTCAAGTTTGTGTTTCATAAATAGCAAACTTTGACAATGTCAGGCCCTGTTTTGTGCCTATCCAGTGACACCTGACTTCTGTCAGGGAGGAATGGGACAAAATTACAGCAAACTGCAGTCGTATTCAACAAAATATATGTTCCTATGAGCCTTGTTAGTCGTCCCCAAAGGAGAGAGCCTTTAGAAAATAACTTTTATTAAAGATTTTTATTAAAGATTCTTTTGAGACATTTCTCTTTTTGAAAAATATTTTTAATGTAATATTTTAATTTTAAAAGCTGTGTTTCATCAACTACAAGCAGAAAATCATAAATAACAGAAACAATGATTTTAAAATATTTTTTTTATTCACCAGTTAGTGGATACAAAACAAATATTTCAGTCTAACAGACAGAACAAGACTAACAAACATAAGTATTAATGTATAAAGTATCAAATAACCAGTTCGATATGACAATAAATAACAAAAAAAGAAAACGATCTTTGCATAATTATTTTATTTTACATTTTTCACATTGTGATAAAAAGTTCCTCAAATAAATTGACTTTTCAGAAACATTCGACTTGGTTGAATGGGCCTGTACTGTCTGATGTTTGTGGAAGTTCAAAGGCAATGCTTCCAAACTCTGAGGAAATGTGTGTAAACTTCTGATTTGAAGACATTAATAAACAAATCTGACATTATTTAACTTATTATTGAAGAATTTAGCAAACATAAATAATTTGGGCAATTCAGACTGAGCTAAACCAAGAGAAGTTTGGTCTAATTTAAGTTAAGACAGTGAGAGAAAAAAGGTGCTTGCAAGCTCATAGTTTCATCTGCAAATAATTAAACGTGTGAAATTAACTATAATTAATGAGAAACTGTGCTGACAATACAGACCATTTGCAGTAGTTCTTATTTTTAATGTGCCATCCTTCACGGAGTAAAAAACCCAGACTAATCTACCCGCGATGCTGTGTGCAAACAACCTGAGGTCAATGCAACAGTTTGGTATGCACAGAGAAAAACACGCGCAACGGTGAGAAACATCCAGCTAAGTGAAGAACGCTTCCCAGGAGGCCGACGTGCCGTTATCCAGGGCTGCTATAAATAGGAGAGTTAATGAGAGCAAATGCAGAAGGTGGTGGCGGAGCTCCATTCTTGTGACTGATAAAAAAGCACAGATCAAACTGCGGCTTTCTGATGAGAAGAAAAGAACGTGCTGGAGGTCTGGAACGGCTCGTCCTTTAAGCAAACGACACTGACGAGAACGCTTGGCTTCGGAAGGCACTCCGTAATCGAAGAGAGAAGTTAAATGATGTTGGATCAACTTTGAAGTGGTGTGTGTTTGTGTACCAGGTTTTCATATCCTTATGGGATATAATGTGGAGTTGTGAGGACCATATTGCTCCTTGTGGGGACATTTTCTTGGTCCCCATGAGGGAAATTGTTGTTTTTGGGTTAGTAGTTAGGTATGTGATGGTTAGGTTTAGGGTAAAGGTTAGGTATGTGATGGTTAGGGTTATGGTAAGGGTTAGACTGTAGAAATTAATGGAAGTCGATGTGAAGTCCCCGCAAGTGATGAAAACACGACTGTGTGTGCGTGTGCCGCTGTCTGATCCCAGGCGTTTTGAGCTTAAGATTTCTGTGCAGCTGTACTTCAAAGTACACTTACTCACGTGACGGTTTACTGTAAAGTGTTTGAAAGAAGTTTGAGGATGAGATGGATCCACTGCGGCTCTGTCTGGAGTAATCTGGTTATTGTTGTGGTTCGTAAAGATGAAGAGCTGAGCTGAACCTTCATCGACTTCCTGACCTTCACCAGCGGCCAGCAGATGTAGATTACCCGTACGTCAACACGTGTTAGCCGATGTGGTTTAGGCGTCTGATCAGGATGCCTGCTGGAAAACTTCAGGCAGCTGTTGCTAATTCAGGAATAACACCAGGAAACTTTATAGAGTTGTGAGTTTCATTTTGTAATCTGTTGTCGCATGTTGGAGTGTCCAAAGACGGGACACCATCACCGCCTATTGATCTACAATCGGTTTATAAGTGAGTGTGTGTTAAATACTGCTAAATCTAGAAACATTTAACAGTATTATTAAATTTAATAAAGTTAGAAACCTATAAAATCAAAATGACAGCTGCAACAAATTTACATAAAAATATATAACGTATTAGTCGTTCATGTCTTTTGGTTTCAGAGTCTTTGCAACATTTTATGTAGACGCACATGTTTCTAATTATTCTTTTTACTTATTGTTCCTAATGCTTTTCAATAAATCCCATCACATATGTGGCATTAAGCAACATTATATGCCTCTTCAGGTCATTTTAATGAAGAAGCTGGTTAAATGTTTGGTCCTACTTACCGGTAATTGCATCTGTTCTAATTCTTCAGGATTGCTAAAATGCTAATTTGATGCACTACAAGTATAATGGGTCGTTAATGGTGTTTAAGCATAAATAAGTAAGCTTCTAGGTAGTGGTGGGACTCGATTACAAGATTTGGACTTGTTAATTGCAATGTCTGTAATTAATCGCATTGTAAGCAAACCATATATTGACAACATAATCAACATTTTAAATTCAAAAACCCGGTTTTGATGCTTATTTATTGAGGAACTAGACCTATGAGCTCAACATTAAAAATATTGTTTTCAATTAGTTTTTTTTCATTGTTTTTGTGTTGTTGTTTTTTTTGTTTTTTTTTTTAGATTATTCAACTGTGAAATTGATGCAAAGTGATTTCAAGTGATTCAGAAACTTATTTGAAAAAACACGTTTTTAGAAATATGAACTGTGCACGGCGACTTTAGCATTAGATGACTGAGATGTGATTTTAGTCTTGAATAGCTTCACTGACAGGCTAACTCATTTTAGCATCAGTTTATTTTCTGAAGCAGGAATTAAACCCTGATGGGCCGAGAGGAACGACCTTGTCATCAATTGCTGTTTAAGGATGTTGCTTGCACGTCCGATTTACGGGCATACCGGAAACATTGGATTACAAAGGTTCCGGCAGGAACTTTTGTCTGAAAAAAAAAAATGTATCAATAAAAAAATGCATTAAAATTTCAACATGTTAAATCTAAGAAATTAATCAAAATGAACATGCCCTACTTACAAGTGAAGTTCTTATCTCCCTGAATTCCTGTCCTTGCCTGTGGAATCTGATCAGAAATAAACTGGACGTCTCATTCTTCACCTGCAGAGATGAAGAAGGCCTGGCTAGCGCCGAGAAGGCGCTCCGCAGCCTGGGCCTGGACCCGTCTGCTGAAGACTGCGTCGCCACTCGGAGGATTTGCCAGGTCGTTTCAACCCGGGCTGCACACCTGTGCGCCTCTACCCTGGCGGCGGTGATGCGACAGATCCGGGACAACAAAGCGGCCGAAAAGCTGCGCATCACCATCGGAGTGGACGGCTCAGTCTACAAGGGTCATCCAGAGTGAGTGACCCAGAACATTGATGTGTGTGTCTGTGTGTCTCACTCCTTTAACGAGGAGTCCAGATTATAAACAGAGGAGTGTTTCGGTGTGCCCCTCCGCGCCCCCTGAGTGTATTTGATCTAAAGTGGATTGAATTGTTCCAACAAGAACACGTAATCTCTGCGTTTATTGTTTAAGCTCTCTTTACATAATTAGAGCTTGTTCACACAGAGGGGATTAGTTCTCCCTTGTCATCAGTGTTTGCCTGACTGACTTGGAGTTGGAGCTTACAAAGTTGTTTATTTGCCTGCTACTCTTCCCAATGTCTCAAAGATATTTGTCCAGCCTGGTGATCATGTAGTAAAACATAGCAGGACTCCAGTCCCTGGCAGGGGCTTCGTCATTTCCTCTGTTAGATACTCAGGATGGAGCCAAAGACTTAGTTGGGCTGAATGTCAGCCGTCTTTTCTGGTGAATTTAAACTGCCGGCTTTGGGCCAGTCGACTGAACACGACCTAATTATCCTCCCTGATCCCCTCTCATTAAAATTCACCTTGCTCCATCTCTTTTCGGAGAGCCTGACGGGACAAAAGTGTTCTTCACTCTGCAAGTAGACACATATTTATACGTACACAGTTGTGAATATAAGTATGGATTATTCATACTCGCAACACACTTGTATTATTTAATCATTCATTCCGGTTTTCTATTTAATTAGATTTTCTCTGGGTAGTTTACTTGCTCCGTTCTGGCTTAAAATAATTAGAGATGAAACTGTTTAGTACAAGTTGTGAGGGTTTTTAAATGTCTTGAGTCACCAGCACAGTTTGCTTTATCCTCTGTGCCATCTGTGCTGTTTTGTTCATTGATGGAAAGTTAGCTAGCATGAAAGTTCACCGAGAAACAGCACAATGTTTATTAAAATCATTTTTTCTTATGGAAAACAGATTTTCCAGGAAGCTCAACAAAATGGTGCGGCGCCTCGTGCCAGACTGCGACGTGCGCTTCCTGCAGTCGCAGCACGGCAGCGGGAAAGGCGCGGCCATGGTGACGGCGGTGGCCTACCGACTCGCCACCCAGCACGCCGAGCGGCAGCGCGTCCTCGACACCCTGCGGCTGAGCCGCGAGCAGCTGCTGGAGGTGAAGCGGAGGCTGACGGAGGAGATGGCACGGGGTCTGTCCAAGCAGACGCACGACCAGACCAGCGTCAAGATGCTGCCGACGTACGTCAGGTCCACCCCGGACGGAACAGGTGAGGGGGAAGACAAGATGTCCGCTGCCTCTTACTCGGATATGACCTTGCTCCTGTTAGATGTGAATTGTTTTTATTTTTATGTTTTTGCTCCATTTTATTTTTTTGTAGAACAAGGAGATTTCTTGGCTTTGGATCTTGGCGGGTCCAGTTTCCGTGTTCTTCTCGTTCGGCTGAAAAATGAGAAGAAGCAGAAAGTGGATATGCACCAGAAGATCTACAGTATCGATCAGGACACGCTGCAGGGCACGGGGGAGGAGGTATTATGTGGTGTGGGAATAAAAAAGCTGAAAATCATTTTAGGTTTTTGGTTTTTCAAGTTTCAGTTCACACTGAAAAAAACTACAATAACACAAATCCTCTTTTTATGTTTTATGTTTTTTGTGGGTTTTCATGTGAATAAATCAAAACACCAGAGGAGAATATCTAAAAACCATGACAAATTGAAAGCCCGCTCCAAAAATACTAACTTCCTATTTTCGTATTTCAAACACCAAAAATGCCCCAATATGCATTGATACAAACGAAGGAAATACAAACAGCACCAGCGCAGAAGCTAATATCTACGGCAGGGGTGTCCATACTTTTTGTTGCATGGGACAAACTAAGAAAACTAAAATAAAGCAAATAGTCATCAAAGTTATTTATTTTTCTACAAAATGGATTCTATTAATCACAGATCCAAAATGTTAAAATAATTTTGCACATTTGCTGTCGGAGTCTCATTTTCAGTTTCTTTTGGACTCGATTGAGCAGATTTATTCTAAAAACAGGACCTGGGCTGCTTTCTGTCAAGATGTTTAATAGTTTAATAAATCAAAGTAAATCTCAGTAAAGTCGTCTTTTCAGTAAAAGTTTCTGGTTAAACGTGGATCAACTAATTGTAAAAGCTCAATTATTTAAAAAGATGAATATTTAGTCATATTTTAACATTTTCCATTTTAGGAAAATTAAGTGGGTTAATCATTTTGGTCTGACTGACATAAATACTCAACATCAGGTCAGATTATTGCCGTCGTTCTTGAACTGCAGTCGAGGTGTTTCACCTTAAAAAGCTGCATATTCCAGCAGTGGCTCAGCTTTAGGGATATTCGTCCTGTGTTGGTGGTAAAGTGTAATGCTAACGCTAGCACCGCCTCTGTCAGTCTGCCCCAGGGCAGCTGGGGCTGCAATGCAGCTTCCCGCCATCAGTGTGTGTGATGTGCAGAGCAGCGGTTCTCGCCTAAGGCGGCCTTTCTTCTTCTGCTTTTGAAAAGCTCTGCAGGTGTGCAATAGTATTCCCCCATGGTGTAAGTTTTCAGCTCAGTGATTTTTGCTTACGCAGCAAATTAAATTTCTTTATTGGCTTTTTTTTTTTTTTTTTTTTTACTTAATGCTTTCTGAGGCTGAATGTTCTTGTAATTATTTTTAATTTCCCTTTGTTTTTATCTGTGCCCCAGCTCTTCAACTACATTGTGTACTGCATTGCTGACTTCCTGGACTACAGGGGGATGAGTGGAGCGTCCTTACCTCTGGGGTTCACGTTCTCTTTCCCATGTGATCAAACCAAGCTGAATGAGGTAACGTTCTGTCTGCCGGTCTGAATCCTGAGCCTGACATAGAGCATCAGGACCATGCTAAGAAAATTATAAATACATTTAAAAAATACGAGAATAAATCACTTTAAATAAGTCAAGTAAAATTGACTTAATTAATTGAATTGAACTAAGTCAATTAAAATTTATTTAATTCAAGTAAATTTTATGACTTAAATTAAATCATAAAATTATGAGACTAAAGTTGCAATAATAAGAGAATAAAGTTGTAATTATTCTCATATTATTATGACTTCATTCTCTTAGGTTGTACTAATACGATAATAAAGTCATGCAAGATAAAGTCGCGTTAAGATGACATGACATTGCTAATACTTTGACTATTCTCAAAATAGTTTATTCTTGTACTATTTCAGCTTTATTGTCATAATTTTATGTTTTTACTTTCTCTCTGCTTGGCCCTTTTTCTCCGTCCTACTAACCAGACTGTGTGCATAAAGTCCGGTTAACTTTGTGCGCGCTTTGAACTGTTTCCTAAAGTTTTAGTTGTGTGACATCAAGCAGGGAGAGGCTGCCTCTGCTGAAGGTTTGAAATGAAGATTTATTCATATTTTTTCATTAAACAGATTGATTGTTTCAAATTGCTTTAAAAAAAACAAAAAAAACACTTTTTTCTGTTCATCACAAAGCCACGCTCCTGTGGGTCAGAGGTCAGTCTGAATAGCTGTGTGTTTCATGCTGCCTCCGTCCGCTGGGCCTCAGTTTCCACTACAACATATTTCAGTCCAGCATTCATCGCGGCTGGAAGCCTGAACAATCAGTAAACTGTGGGGAGGATCATTTAGCTGGTGACGATATTTAGAATCAACACACAACGCGACCAAAGATTTTTATTGTTTTTTTTCACCGCTTCCAAACATTATGTGTAAAATAAGCTGTCATTCATTCAGGGTTTAAATAAAACCCCTAATTGGGTGTTTTGGTGGAGTGATTGTATAAATTGAGGACAATTTACCGCAAGAGAGTTAAATAAAACTTAAACGATTTAAAGAAGCTGAGGGTTTTTTTATTTGTATTTTTTTTTTGGAAACTCTCATCAGAAAGTCTCAAAGTTTTCCATTTAGGTCGACATGAAACATTTTCTTTTTTTTTTTTGAACATTCTTTAAACATGAAACATTTTCAATAGTTTTTGTTAGCTAAGAGCAACCTGTCTAGATACAGAGGCTGTATGCTGGAGATGAAAACAAGCCGCGTTTTTCTCTGTTTTTAAGGACACTGTGTGGCTTTGATGTTTCTCTCTTGTCAGAACAAGGACTTGTCCTCAGTCATAATCAGGCCAGAACATTTGATGGGAATTTAAAAGCTCTTTAGCCCGATCCTTGAACTTTGACTTGAAAATCAGTTGCCAGCTCAGATGCTAATCAGACAAGCTGCTCTCTGCAAATCAAGCTAATTAATACCTGAAACACAGATGTCCGTCGTGTAGCCGTCAGTCGATCAGACTCGGAAAAACTAGATTGTGTCACAACGTGACCTTTGGATGGAAAAGGTTCAGCTTGACATTTTGTCTGTTTTATGACAGGAAAGGAAATATTGTAACTAACTTAATTCTGTTTGGAAAAAGCTTAAATACTCAAATAGGCGTTTTACTTGAACAAATGGTTTTAATTTAAAATGGCAAACTTTGGTTTTGTTTTGTTTTTCCATTCCACCAACCACAACTTTGATTTTATCGGTGTGACCTGGTCAGAATTATTGTTTACTACATAAGACTGAACTTTTTTTATCTTATAAAAAATAAAAATTCACACCATTACAAATTATGTGCTTCAAATTCTGAGAAGATTTTCTTTAAATAAGAGAATCACTTTACCTCTGACTTCACATCTGTCACAGAATAATAATTTTTTGTTTGTTTGTTTGTTTGTTAATGAAGTAACACAGCGAAATATCCAATCATGTTGTTTATCTCTTGGACAATTTTATTACCTGAAAAGTCGTAGTGTGTAGCAGGTTTTGTGAAAAAACTTATTACTGAGTCACAATTGCATCACGTTAATGAGAAGCTTCTGTGCAAACTATTCCAAGATTGTAGGTTTGGTTCACAATACAAGCGTTTCATATCAGTCGATATTGATAATTGTTGATATGCTTTTTGTTTTAAATATCCAAAATCCTACTAAACTGGCGCCGTTTGGTAGGATTCCCTCTTGGGTTTTTGTACTCATTTTCTCCTTTCACTTTACCCCGCTCTTTTTTTTTTTTTTTTTCTTTTTTTAAGCAGTTATGCAGTAAAACATAAAACTACTGCCACAGGCTGAGGCGAGTTGTGTGTATTCTGTGAACCGAGCAGACCGCGTGTGCACGGCATGAACGGTTGAGATTTAATTTGTCACAATCATTCATTTTATCCTTCAGACCCTTTATTTTTTTTTCCCCTCTCTCGGTTCTTCACGGTTTGGTTACCGCGAAAGACTTTGCTTCGTAAAGTTTGATGAACGTAAAGGTTCATCGAACTCGATTTCCTTCGTTTGTTTTGACTCATTTTCCTCTGTACTTCTTGAGCAAACGTTTTGAATGTCGGAGCTTGTGGCCCGCCAGACGACGTCTGTCCTGTCCTACAGAAGGAGCTGGAGACCAAACGGCTAATGTCTAAATGTGTTTACAACTCCAGCCGCTCCAAGCACACAACTCTTGAGAGAGCGCTGGCAGAGGAAAGGAGGCCTTGTCATCTTAGAGGATGTGTGGCTTGAAAGTTTTTGTGGCATACACACATACACACACGCACACACAGAGAGACACACACACTCTGTGAAATGTAGATGGATGATCTGACAAATTTGTTCTGGTTTTGAAAAAAATTTCAAATATTTCAGTGGGAGGTTTTCAGCTTCTTCTCTGATTGGAGTCAGTTGAGTCTCTAAACAGGTTTCCATCACTATCAATATTTAGTACAATAAGTATTGTTTCATTACAGTTGCAAATGAAAGGTGTAATAGTTCGGGTTCTTCTTCTTTCTGGAAACCGAAAATGAATGTATATAATATTCAAAATGAGTTTTTACTGAATCACTTGGTTTCTCAACAACATCTGATGTTTCTGTGAGTTCCTGTGATTGGTGTAAAGTTTTCCTCAATGAAACCTGACATGTAAATTATCCCTGTGGATCGTTTCAACATGGTGCCAAACCCTCACCGTCCTTTCTGCAGGGAATCCTTCTGAAGTGGACGAAGGGCTTCAAAGCCAGCGGCTGTGAGGGGAAAGACGTCGTGAAGCTGCTGAAGGAGGCGGTCCAGCGCAAGCAGGTCAGTGCACGTTTTGAATGAACTTGCAAAAAAAAAAAAAAAATGTTTCAGTCTGTTTTCAGAGAGTATTCTGCTTGCAATGGCCTTCCATCTACACACACGTTTTCCAAGTGTGTACCGAGCAATCAGTCAGAAACTCTCTGTGTGCCAACTACTTCTGTTTGAGGGAGGCGGTGTCGTTTGTAGAAGTGCTGCATCCGGAGTCTGATTGCTAACGCAGCCTGCTCCTCCCACGTAGCATGTTTGTGTTAATCCAGCTTTCACAGCAACCTTCACTGGACACGAGTACATAGGCTGCGTCCAGTCCAACCACATCTTGAAGGATGAAAGGAGCTGTTACAAGATGCTTTAAGAGCTGAGAGACGGATATCTTCTTTTTGTAGGAGAAAGTTTAGCTGTTAGTTGAGTGGCTTTTAGACAAGAGAAACAGTTAAACATATAAACTCTGAGGCAGTAGTAAACTATAAAGGGTTAACACTAGAGTTCATACAGTAAGTCACCAGCTGCGTTTCCATACCAAATGTACGTTAACCTTCATTGATATCCTGCTAATGTCGAAAAAACACAATTTCGCAATTGCGGTGTTTCCATTAAATGAGAAACATGGTGGAAAGTTTGTTTGTTTTTTTGTTTTGGAAAAAAAAAAGTGTTCCCATCTCATTTTTGCAAGATAAGCTAATTTTGATGAGGCCAAAAAGCGAAAATAAAAAACAGAGGACAGTTTAAGTTACTGTCATAATTACTTCCACTCACCTTTCAGGAACCTTATCTCAGTTTACAGAAATGTCATTTTTGGCTACTTTTTCCCCGTGTGTCTCTTCTAGTTGAGGGTTTTTGGGCCATTTGTTTAGGTCATTTGTTTTTGTCACACTTGCAGCAGTGGTGCTTCTCTCCTGTGGTTTAATTGGACCCTTCAGCATCGGAGAGGCCCATGGGCGGTTTTGACTACTGGCCTTTAAGTCGCAATAATTCGAGGAGTGGAATTTGAATAAGCTTTTTGTTGCCTCGGACCTCCAGGGAGGATTTGTTAGATTCACAGCGAGAAAGGCGGCAGCGAAAGACGCACATTTTAATTTTCCCTGAATGTGTTTAACTCACTCTGATCAAACCAAACGACGTGCTTGAATTTCTCCTTTTCTTCAACAACTTAAATCTGATCATTTTGTGGAAGCAAACAAGCCCTTTTATCTTCCATCTTGGAAAGCAACTATGTGGCTTCCTGGAAACGGTCACGCAAATTCAGATTTCTGCTCGTTACTGGTCCAGTTTTTAAACTACTTCCTTGTTTACATGGTCTTTGCTGTGGAAACAGTGCACCCGGACGCTTGTGCAATAGTTCTCAAGGAAAACTTGGACTTTATTTCAATAAATTTACCTTTTACTACGGCGGACAGTTTGACCTAATCACAGTTTCGAAGTGGTTTTACACAAAGCGAGAGTTCAGTCTAAAATATTGCTGAAGGCGTTCACATGGACGGCGTTTAAGATTGATCTTTATTTCTGCAGGTAAGCACAGAGCTCTGCTGTCCTAACATTGACCTGGAGAATATTAGCTGGTCACTATATACTGAAGAGTTTAAGGGTTTCGAGTGATTTTTTATTTTTTTGCTTTTAAAGTGTTGGTACAGCATCTAAGAAGGAGCGTGCAGAGAAATGTTTCCATGCCTCTTAGTTCCAGCAGTCAGCAGCTAAAGAGTGTGAAATTACAACAGAGGCCCTGGCTAATTCCTGGTTAGGATACAGAACACTGATCAAAGTGGAAAAAAAGTATCAAACTTGTTCTTCTTTTATTTTTTAATGTGGCCTTCAATCCAATCTGTTTCAGCTTTTTTACCCTTACTTTTTTACGTGCGGGTGTTTTACTGAAGCAGGTCTCAGTTAGATACTTAAAATTAAGCCGTGATCAAAATGTGATGAGTGGAAGAAAAGCTTCAGGTTTATGCAAGATCATTTGAGATGTGGGGAGGAAAACAGAAGAGAGAGAGAAGAAACAGTAAGACACAGAAAGAGAGTTGGCAAAAAGACCTTTTAGTAAGTAACCCTGCTGTTATTGTTTACCACTTCAAAACTTTGTTTATGCATATTTGATGTGAGTGATTCTGCTACATGCTGACGAAGGTAACTAACCCTCTTGAACTTTTTTTTTGTAAGCCTTTACCAGCTTTTCAGATGAAGAGACTGAAATGTTTGCCTAATTCTTCTTCTGCTCTTGCTTTAAGTCTCACATCTTGATCTGGACTTTGACTGGGCCAGATGAAACTGATCTATTTGGCTGTTTCCTGGAGGCAGCTGGTTGGGCTGTATTGGGTTTCAGGTTAAGAGGGTTGAACTTGAACATTGTGTGAAGTTTTTATTTGAAAGAAGAGAAAAAAAACCCAGAACTTTACATTAATGATCTGCTGTGTGTTGGTCTATCAGAGACGATGTAATGCTGTCTTTGGGTAACTTTTATAAAAGTATGTTTTTTTTTTTTTTTACATATTTGTTCAAACTATTTATCCACCGTCACTGGTGGCCGTACTTATTCGCCTGTATGCTCGCGGCGGGCTCTGCTGTGGGGAAGGAGCTGTAGCACAGCAGAGAGGGACTGTGTGACCAGCGTGTTCACAAGCGTGATTGACAGCGCTAAGACTCTCCTCCTACTGACTCTGATTGTTTTTTTCTGACTGGGAGTGGTTTATTTCTGAAGACCGAGGAGCTCTAATTTTTTCACAAATTATCTGACATATTACACTGTCAAAACAGTGACAGTTTGAACAAACATATAAAAAAAATAT